CCCTGCACCCCTTGCCCTGCCCACACCAGCCCTGCACCCCAGTCCTGCCCGCACCAGCCCCGCACCCTCTGCCCTGCTGCTGCCCGCAGCCAGCCCCGCACTCCCTGCCCACAGCCAGCCCCTGCCACACCCCCGGCCCTGTCTCCAGCCAACCCCTGCTGCACCCCCCTGCGGCCCTACCCAAAGCAGATGCATGGATTGAAAAATAAAGGAGCAGGTATAAATACATGAACGGATGGGAGTTGCCTTAACAAGTGTGAGGTCCTAGCTACTATAAACAATAATCCCCGAATCTTTGCTATAACATGAAATATATGGCAGTATGCGGGTAAAATAGACTAGGAGACATACAATTCTCCCCCAAGGAATAGGTTTGTTGTGTGAAAGGGGTCACCAGTACAAAAGTTTGAGAGCCACTGAGATAGAATCTCCCCTCAGCAGGGCACCCAGGTGGGGATGGTGTAACCTTTCTCGCGCTCTCCCCCAGGCCGCCCAGCTCCGTGAGCTTTGTGGCGCCGCGCCTTGGCGGAAGCCGGTGGGCGGGGCGGCGGAGGCTCTTCCGGCGGCTCGCTGGCTGCCTGCGCCCCGGCCCCGCTGCTGCCTCCCCCGCTCGCTGCCGCTCTCGGCGCCTCCATCCTGGTACTTCAGAGTCTCCATCCTGGTTTCTCAAGTGCCCGGACCCAAAACAGGAAGTAAGTGCGAGGGGACCCGCGGGCTGCCGGGGCCGGGAGCAGCCGGCTGCGGGGCGCGGCGCGGCGGGCGAGCCCGGTGGCGGGGCGGGAGCGGCTCAGCCCCCATCGCCCCCCTTCCGCTCACTGGCGGGGCTAGGGAGCGGGGCGCGCCGCGGCCTCAGCTGCTGCCGCCGCCACAGCCGGGCGAGAAGAAGCCGCGGAGACAGGAAAATGGCGCCGGAGCTAGACTGGGACCAAATGGCGGCGCTGCCGGGCGGGGAGCAGCGGGAGCCTGGCCCGGGGGCAGAGGCGGTTCCCCCCCTACCCCCCCCCCCCCCAGCAGGGAGTGTGGGGGAGCAGCCCCTCCCCCATGGGGCTGTAACTCCTCGCCAGGAGGGAGGAGCTGGTGCACATGTGGGCGTGATTGCCACGGGGGGGCGGGGGCGTGATTATTGCAACTACAAAACAGTGAAAATGGCGAAGCCGGTGAAATATAACATGAGCAATGCCAAGGGGTTTTAAAACGTATGGTCGTGAAAGCGGCCCAGAGGAGACTCATTGTGCGGGGGAGAGGCGCTTGTGAATTATTGTTCGCGCTTTAAAAAAAAATTGGGTTGGCCTTTTTCTTAGTTTTTGTAAACCCATGTGTTTAAATGTTAAAAGCCCAGCTGCAAAGCATGAGTGATGTGTAACATTTCTCCTTTCCTGGGTCTGGTGTATTTAAAATGCATGGGCTTTTATTCTGGTAGGTGACATGATTTGGGATTGGGTTTATTTTGGCAGTGGGTGTTAGAGTAGGTTTCTGAAAGAGGAAATTTACAAAGTGAGGATTTTCACTTAAATATGGAAAATTGCGAGAACTTATTTTTTCAACTACCTTGATAGTTATGCATTAGCCATACAACATAATGCATCCTGTTAGAACATATGTATCCCTGTTTTATGGAAGTAATTGTGCTTTGTTTTAGTTGTGTAATGAGTTCTGGCTATGATGATGCATAATAAATAAATTCACGGTAAATGCAAGTATATTCCTCACCCAGCATCTCATTAAGCAATTCAAAGAAACTACAGCAAATTATACTGTACACTGACAGAGAGTTACTGAAATTTTAGTTCCCAGTTAGAAGTAGATAAGGACATTCATATAACCTGATAAAGGTTATTTATTGACAAACTTACTGACAATGTAATGTGTAGTTTGATATATTGACAACATTCAGGTAATCATCTTACAAACATGAAAGATGTGGCGAAGTGTCTTCATAACAAAGTAAAAAGATACAGATTGACAATGACTTTGCCATATAGATGAAGATAACTGTAACAAAAAAACACTGGAGTTTGGATGGCATATGCCATCTGAACTTTATAAATATAAAAACCCTTTCTTCTTTGTAAACATTTGTGTTGTCAACTAAAATCAAATTATTTATAGTTGGTACTGTAAATAATAGGACTATCAGCTGAATCAGTAATACCCCACAGAGGTGTGGATCTTGCAACAGTTATAAGGGCTGGAACCTGAAACTGGCTTCCTGCAGAGACAGTTGTAGGATCAGGGCTGAAATATTAACCATTTGTGTCAATATTTCAACATAGGTCACAGCACTCTTCTTATTTATAGAAGTTAATTCGTATGTTCAGCTATGCCTCTCAAAGCATTAGAGCTATGGCTTTCCATTATAATTACAGTAGGTATAATACTGAACAACTTTTCATATTTCATAATACATTAATATTTGCCAGTGTATCTAAAGGTGAAGAGACAATTTTGAACATTAATAAAGAGATGGAATTTAAATGCTTTTTCTTTAGTGTTTATTAGTGTATACCAATCTATCAAGCTTTTTATCCACACCTATCCCAGTAGTTTTTGAGAACCTCAGAAATGGCCTGTGGTCCAATTTTCCATTGTTCCATATGACGGATGAAGGTATGCTCTCCACTTCATATTGCATTGGTTGAATAAAACTGTACGGGCACACCAGTACATCTTGTCATCTACATCATAAGAGCGGCCATATTGGGTCAGACCAATAGTCCATCTAGCCCAGTATCTTGTCTTCCGATGGTGGCCAGTGCCAGGTGCTTCAGAGGGAGTGAATAGAACAGGTAATCGTCAAGTGATCCATCCCTGTCGCCCGTTCCCAACTTTTGGCACCATCCCTGCCATCCTGACTAATAGCTTTTTCGAACCCTTCTATAGCCTTGGCCTTCACAATATCCTCAGGTAAAGAGATCCATGGGTTCACTGTGTGTTGTCTGAAGAAATACTTGCTTTTGTTTGTTTTAAACCTGCTGCCTATTAATTTCATTTGGTGATACCTAGTTTTTGTGTTAGGAAAAGGAGTAAATACTTCCTTATTTACTTTCTCCACACCTGTCATGATTGTGTAGACCTCTATCATGTGTCTCTTTTCCAAGCTGAAAAGTCCCAGTTTTGTTAATATCTCCTCATATTGATAATTCATCTCTTCTCATTCCTTCTTTGACTTCATGAAGTTGTCAATGCATGCTGGTGTAAATGAGAACAGTTCGTTCCAACGTGTGTCTACTGTACCTTCTATCTCTTATGATAACCCATCTGTATAAATGTTTGCTATAAATGTTGCTTTTGAACTCAGTCGACTTAATTTAAAATAATTTAAAATAAATCGTGACATAGACTGAATTTCCATAGAAAACCTCTTACGTGGCATCTGTGTGTTTGGGCTGATTTTTCCCCCCCTTTAGCAGCTATTTAAGAAGATTTCTTTGTGACAGATTTTTTTGAATGTGAAATACTTAACTGCTGGGTCTAATTTTGCTGTTACTGCAACATATGCTATTTGGAAAACCAGAAGCAGCCATTGTGAGCGAGAAGTCATCTTGTTTATGAAATAACTTCCAAATGTGTGCCAGGTGACCAGTGAAACCTGCTGATTATGACTGTATATGTATTTATTAACTTACTGACTTTTTAATGAAAACACATTCAGAACACCTCTAAAGAGTTGATATAGCTTTAAAGTACAAGGTGTAGTTTGTGTTATAATTAGGGCTGTCGATTAATCACAGTTAACTCACGCAATTAAAAAAAATTAATCACGATTAATCGCAGTTTTAATCAAACTGCTAAACAATAGAATACCAATTGAAATGTATTAAATATTTTTGGTTGTTTTTCTACATGTTCAAATATATCGATTTCAATTACAACATAGAATATAAAAATGAGGAGTCCTTTTAGCCCACAAAAGTTTATGTCCAAATAAATTTGTTAGTCTCTAAGATGCCACAAGGACTCCTCGTTGTTTTGGCTGATACAGACTAACACGGCTACCACTCAGAAACAGAATACAAAGTGTAAAGTGCTCACTTCATATTTTTATTACAAATATTTGCACTGTTAAAATGATCATGTGCCAGCAATGCCCCTCTGCCATGTACATTGGCCAAACTGTAGAGCCTCTACGCAAAAGAATAAATGGACACAAATCAGACATCAAGAATTATAACATTCAAAAAACAGTCGGAGAACACTTCAACCTCCCTGGTCACTCGCTTACAGACTTCAAAGTTGCAGTACTCCAGGAAAAAAACTTCAAAAACAGACTCCAACGAGAAACTGCAGAATTGGAATTTGCAAACTGGCCACCATTAAATTAGACCTGAATAAAGACTGGGAATGGATGGGGTCATTACACAAATAAAACCTATTTCCCCATGCTAATTTTTCCCCTACTGTTACTCACACCTTCTTGTCAACTGTTTGAAATGGGCCATCTTGTTTATCACTACAAAAGTTTTTTTTCCTCCTCCTGATGATAGCCTATCTGAACGGATTACTCTTGTTATAGTTATTATGGCAACACCCATTTTTTCATGTCCTCTGTGTATATTATATATTGTCCTACTGTATTTTCCACTGCATGCATCCGATGAAGTGGGTTTTAGCCCACGAAAGCTTATGCTCAAATAAATTTGTTAGTCTTGAAGGTGCTACAAGTACTCCTTGTTCTTTTTAAAAGAAATATCATTTTTCAGTTCACCTCATACAAGTACTGTAGTGCTATCTCTATCGTGAAAGTGCAACTTATAAATAAACTTTTTTTGTTATATAACTCCACTCAAAACAAAACAATGTAAAACTTTAGAGCTTATAGTTTCACTCAGTCCTACTTCTTGTTTAGCCAATCACTAACAAGAGAAACAAATTTGTTTACATTTACGGGAGATAATGCTGCCCACTTCTTATTTACAATGTCATGTGAAAGTGAGAACAGGTTTTCACATGGCACTGTTGTAACTAGCATTGCAAGGTATTTACGTGCCAGATATGCTAAACGTTCATATACCTCTTCATGCCTCGGCCACCATTCCAGAGGAAGTGCTTCCATGCTGATGACGCTTAGTTTAAAAAAAAAAAAAAAGGCATTCATTAAATTTGTGACTGAATGTATGTCTCCTAGTCTATTTTACCCACGTACTGCCATATATTTCATGTTATAGCAGTCTCAGATGACGACCCAGCACATGTTTGTTTTAAGAGTACTTTCACTGCAGATTTGACAAAACGCAAAGAGGTCAGCAGTGTGAGATTTCTAAAGATAGCTACAGCAATCGACCCAAGGTTTAAGAAGCTGAAGTGGCTTCTAAAATCTGAGAGGGACGAGATGTGGAGCATGCTTTCAGAAGTCGTAAAAGAGCAACGCTTTGATGCGGAAACTACAGAACCCAACCACCAATAAAGAAAATCAACCTTCTGCTGGTGGCATCTGACTCAGATGATGAAAATGAACATGCATCGGATCATTATCAAGCAGAACCCATCATCTGCATGGACACGTCCTCTGGAATGGTGGTTGAAGCATGAAGGGACATATGAATCTCTATCGCTTCTGGCACATAAATATCTTGCGACACCGGCTACAACAATGCCATGCGAACGCCTGTGACATTGTAAACAAGAAGCGCGCAGCATTATCTCCTACAAATCTAAACAAAATTGGCTGAACAAGAAGTAGGACTGAATGGAC